AAGCCTCTGTGTCATTATTTGGGAGCCAGCTAGTGGGACAGAGCTGACTGACAAAAAAAGGCAGGATGTGGTCTTATGTGTTTTAACAGCATTATGTTGACTGCTAGAATGAGGATGGAATGAAAAGACCAAGGGCAGAGGAGGAGAATAGATAGAAGACTAAGGAATGAATCCAGAGAGAGACTGGTGACATGAACCTGGGTAAAATAAGAGATTCTGGGCTGAGGTTAACCTTTGAAGACAGCCAAGACTGCATGCAAATAAATGCATGCTGTGGGATGGCCTTTCTGTACACTGTGAATGCATGTTGCTACTATTGGTTAATAAAGAGGCTGTTTTGGCTTATGGCAACACAGGATATAGCCAGGTATGAAATCCAAGAGAGATACGGGGAAAAGAAAGGCAGAACTGGGGAGATGCTGTGAGTTGACAGGGGAACAAGATGCACACAGGTACACAGGGAAAGCACAAGACACATGGTGATACATAGATTAATAGAAATTGGTTAATTTAAGATGTAATAACTAGCTAGCAGTAAGCCTGAGCCATAGACCAAACAGTTTGTAATTCATATTAAGCCTCTGAGTGATTATTTTATAAAAATGGCTGCTGCCTGGGCAGAACTGGGCAGGGCCAAGAAACTCCAATCTACAATTGGTGCCCAGATATTTGATAAGAATTTCCACATAAAACCTGAGAGCTTAAAGAAGGAAAGGTTGTAAAGCAGAGCCAAGAACAGCTTCCTAGTTTATGTCGCTCATTGCTGGGCCTGGGGTGGGGGCGTGGGGCCTTCAGTGGCAACGTGATGGACTCTCAGGGTCTCTCATGGGCCACAAGACAAAGAGGCTTCTCACAGCTGCTGCCTACAGGCTTCGGAACATAGCTATGGGCTTAAAAACTCAGACATGCTACTTCATACTACTTCTCAGAGCTGTGGAGTTAAATTGACTTGTTGGTACCTGTGCCATGTTGAAAAGACAAGCAGGGCGGAGTCAGCAGCCCTGCTTTAGTACTAGCCATGCAGCTTAGCGGTTTAAAAACTTTCCTGGTCAGAAAAGGATTAAAGATACAAAATGAAACAGATTCAGACCGAAACAAACAAAACCACTCATGGGTCACAGTCTGTTTAAAAAAATATGCATAGGCTTGAGAGAAAAAAAGAGAGGGTCTACGGCTATGTTGCTTTGGAAAACAGGTTCTGTTTTTGTTTCCACAGAAGATGAGAAGCTGTGGATTCCTTCCAGGTTTATATGGTTCCATCGAGGAAGACCCTCTGAGAGTTCCCCAACGGGAGTGATGGCCCAGATGATCCAGCATCCAGAACAGCTTCAAGGTAACTGGCTGAGATGATGTAGCTTCATAGGCTACTCCAGTCGGTACTTGACCATAATCCTAAATTTTCAGGATCCACATACGATTGCCAGTGCTCCCAGTCAGTAGGAAGTAGTACAGAAAGCTACACCCAAATTCACAAAACATTGTTTATGAAGGTTTGCTTTTATTTAAAGGGGGATATGGTATAGAAATGATGAAAAAAGTAGATTATTAAATCTACTTTAATCCAAAAAAAACACCTGTTAATCTCAAAATACTTTACATTGGTATGGATTTTGGTTTATTAATACAAATTTAAGGCAATTTTGTCATACTGTATGTATATTTCTACTTTTGTTTAAGGTATTATGTTTATGCAACTCTTTTAAAATTGTAATATATCCTTAAGAAATACAGATTGTTAGTCATCTATGATAATCAGACATATAGTCATATTAGTTATGTTTTTAGGTATACAAGGATGTTTTTCAATTAGATAGATAATCTTCAAATACTTTAAAGACCTACAGACTGTCATTTAAAATGTTTTAAGGACTTATATTTTTCTCAACAGTGAGACAAGTCTCCTGGCAGCACCAATTACTTCAAAGAGGATGATGGGCATTGAAGAAACTCCATATGGAGTTTGTTTTCTTTATGGCAAAACTAGCCATGTAGGCAATAAAAATGCCCTTGCCTTGACTGCTGAGAGTATGCTGTACAAATTGGACAAGGAAGACACAAAAGAAAGTGACTTCAGAACTTTGCCAAGACAAAGTGGGAGAGTCCTTCAAAAATCCTGCTTTACAGATAAGTCTGTCAGATATGCTAGGCTTGTAGGCTGAAGTTGGATGCCCCAACATTGCAGAGGAACTTTGAATGACTGTACAGGCAGCCTGATGTCTCTGTCATTAGGTAACATTGCATCCTTCTGGAGTCTTTGATGGAGTTAAGACTAGATAGTTATAGTTACAGTTTTCTTTAGTTATAATAAAAGATAAATTAGATACAAAACTTTAGACTCATCAAGATAAGATAGATAATTAAATAATTTTGCCAAATGCAAATGGATTAGATTTTTTTATACTGTAATTCTTACTTAATAACTGTTTTTGTTTTACTATATTAAAGTTAAACCTTCCCTTTTATTTTTGTTTTTTTTTCATGACAGCGTTTCTCTGTATCATCTTAGTGCCTGTCTTGGATCTTACTCTGTAGACCAGGCTGGCCTTGAACTCACAGAGATCTGTCTGGCTGACTCCCAAGTGCTAGGACTAAAGGTGCGCACTAACACTGCCTGGCAAAACCTTTCTTTTTAATTCGACAAAGAAAGAAGAAATGCTGTGGGATAATGCTCTTGTACACTGTAAAGATTTGTCACTCAAATTGGTTTAATATTGATTGGCCAGTAGCCAGGCAGAAAGTATAGGTGGGCAACCAGACTAGAAGAATTCTAGGAAGAGAAAGGGTGGAGTTAGGAGTCACCAGCCAGATGCAGAGGAAGCAAGATGAGAATACTGTACTGAGAAAAGGTACCAAGCCACATGGCTAAACATAGATAAGAATTACAGGTTAATTTAAGTGTAAGAGCTAGTCAGTAATAAGCCTGAGGTACTGGCTGAGCATTTATAAGTAACATTAAGCCTCAGAGTCAGTTATTTAAGAAGCAGCTGCTGGGTATTTGGGAACAGGCAGGAGGAAGAGAAATTTCTGCCTACAGTGTGCTAGATGTGACAAAATGGGGAGATGGAGAATGATGGTTCATTTGGGGCTTGAGCACCTGGAAGCCCTGAGAGAGGTTCTACTCACTTAGGTAGGATGGGCCTGCTAGGGTGCTTCCTGGGGAAGAGCAGGTATAGTTTTGGCCATTTTAGGTAAGCAAGTCCCGTCAACACTCAGTTGAAGTTGGTAGGGAAGTAGGCTGCACAAGTCTGCAGCTCAGAAGGGGACAGAGCCAAGCCATCTGGGGTCCACCAAGACACATGTGATTTGAACCTTGAGACTGATGATGCTTGCCATGCAGAGTGCAATGGTTTGGTCTAGGGGGAGTTTAGGCTACTGGACTTCCAAAGTAACGCTATTTTTAAGACTTGCTCTTCTAAGGCTTGCGGTGGATATTGCTTTGTATGCTGTGAATGTGTTGCTCTGATTTAGTTGATAAATAAAATGCTGATTGGTCAGTAGCCAGGCAGGAAGTACAGTATAGGCAGGACAAGCAGAGAGGAGAATTCTGGGAACAGGAAGGCTGAGTTGGGAGTCATCAGACAGACAGAGGAAGCAAGATGTAAAAGTAATGGTAAGCCACAAGCCATGTGGCAACTTGTAGATTAATAGAAATGGGTTAATTTAAGATATAAGAACTGGATAGTAAGATGCCTACCATGGCCATATAGTTTATATGTCTCTGTGTGTTTACTTGGGTCTGAATGGCTGTGAGCCTGAGCAGGACTGCAGAAAACTCCAGTTATAAAGGCCAAAGTCTTTAGAATTTGAAAGACTTGGTAAAAGTTTACAAACTTAGAAAGACTGAAGTCATAAATGTTTTACATAAAATATAGAGAAATGCTTAAGTTCAAATGTTAAATACAAAGAAATGCACAATTATGACATTATATATTCAGAATCATGTCACTATATTTGGCAAGATGTGAGTGAAACACAAGGTTTTTAATAGTGATTGCTTGAGGTGTGGGGAATATGGGAAACATTCTCCAAATATTCAGACTTTTTCTTATTATCCATTTTTTCTCATGCAAATATAAATTAGTTAGGTTCTTTTTAAAAACAAGATCTGACACTGAAGCCCAGGCTTGCTTGGTGCTCACTGTATAGTTAGGCTGGTAGCAATCCTCTTGCCTCAGCTTCCTGAATGCTGGAGTTACAGGTGGAGCTACCACACCCAGCTATGAAAATCACTTTTACAGCAGAAATAAAAGGGTAAATTTTATCTTCTGAAAACTATGGATAATTTAAAATTTTCCTCCTGTGTAATAGTAAAACTTGGATGTACAGTGGAACCCCAAAGTAACGGCACTGTATTTTCTTTCTCAGTGTGTTAATTACGGTTACAGGTGGGGCCATGAGAACCAAACATGAAGATAAATGGCACTCACCATCCCCATGTGTACACCATGTAAAACACTGGACTTATTGACAGTTTATCAGCCTGTGAGGAAACCAAGAGGAAGACAGGCCCCGTATTCATCCTACTCTGTGAGTCTCACTACGGTCAGGCTCCCCATTATTTTCAACTCATATGGATGCAATTCTAGCTCCCTTTATGGGCTCTGATCTCCTTGTCTAGCACACAGGCTCCCTTTGGGATTTCTTTTTTAGCACAAACTTTCACCATGGGGTTTTTTCCACCTTGTTCTTCCAGACACTGAAGGGTTTTGATTCTTCAAGGTTTATTTCAAAGCACTTGAAAGAGAGACCTCCTGCAGGGAGGTAAAATAGATTTAACAATACCAACCTACCTCATAAGGCCACTGTGAGGAATAATAATATAAAGGACTACAAAGCACTTTGTAAATATAAAGTTCTATACAAATGCTTAATAATAATTACTCAGTACAGTGCAGTACAGTCGCTTCTGCATTTATAGAAGTACCAATGAGGATAGGTTTCCCTTCTCCAGCCATTCTTCCATTTTTATAATCAAAGAGTTTCATTTTTAACTCACGTACAGAACATCCTGATGCTCCAGGCCTTGGATGTGTTCCCAAGTCAGAAGTGAAACAATGTCAGGCTGTGGGGAAGGAAGCACTGTGTCCTGGGTGCAGCTTTTTCTTCACGTTTGAAGCTGCTTTGGCACAGCAGGGAAGCAGGGATGGGTAGAACCATGTTATTTTTTTTCTCTGAACAGGACCGGCCTATGTGCTGTCCTTGGCAGTACATTTGTTGTGTGCAGAGCCCCAGTTTCAGAGCAATGGCAGGCTCTGCTTAAATTGATGATGCTTTCAATTTTAAATTAAGCAGCTTCAAATTTGCTGCTGCTGCTGCTGCTGCTTCTGCTGCTACTGGTGTGTGTGTGTGTGTGTGTGTGTGTGTGTGTGTGTGTGTGTGTGTGTGTGTGTGTGCATATCTCTTAGTTCACTAGAGATTTACAGAAACAGCCTCTTGGTCTGTTCTTTTATCAGCAGCCCAAACTTCCCTGCATAACCTTCATTATCCAAAGCACTTATGGCCACTTAAGAAACTGTCTGCTTGGATACTAGCTAAGTGTCCTTATTAATTATTTTTCCTGATCATAATAGCTAAGCAGTATAAGTCTTCTTATAATTTTTATGGCATGAGATCACTTAGATAGGCACCGATTGTAGTAGCCTTAGGGGTGACCTGATTGCTTTTTCCAAAGTATGAGACCAAGGTCCCTAGAAATTCACGGAAGATACAGAAGCCAGAGGGAGGTTGCTCCTACTTTTTGGAAAAAAAAAATATTCTTTGGTATATAAAGAGTGGGGTACTGCACATTCTTCCTGCCCCTCAAGATGAAAGATTCCTATCTGATTGGGCATTCATTCTTTAGCAAATTTTATTGAGTAGCTCCTGAGTTTAAAGTACTGTGCATAATGATGGGGAAAGGTTCATGATAAGAAAGGTATAATCCCTGGCCCTTGCTGATCAAAACCTGATGCTTTAGTCATGTCTGTTCGTGTGAAATTTGATTAAGCTGGTATACATGCAACTGGAGTGTCTCACCAATTAAAGTAGCAATCGAGAGGAAGGACTGCTTTTCCTGGAGTCAAATGTTAACTTAGGTGACCTTTGATCTGGCGTATGAGTAAACGTGGCTAAATATTTGATGAGTTTGAAGAATGGTAAGTAATATATGGGTGAATAGGACATGATTGACAAATGATTAGGAATTCAGAATGGTTGGAGAATTGATTGGAAGTAGTGGAGTGCGAAAAGGAAACAGAATGGCTGGGGCTATAGGAAGTGAACAGTTTCTGCACCCCAATAAGCCTCTCTGACGCAGCAATCCAAATCAGACCAAATTAGAAAAAGTACCAGTTTAATAGGCAAAGCATTCTTGGGTGATTCTCTGCGCCCACCCCTCCCCCAAAAAAAGAGGAGATGGGAAAGGGAGACTGAAAAACCACGTGTCTGCTTTCTGAGGTGCAGTTTAAATACCCTGTGAGAATGGTCTTGAGCATCTCTGGGGGAGGAGCCATGTTTGGCAGGACTTTCTGAGGGGCAGGGATTGGGCAGAGAGGTGGGGCTTCCACCACAGCAGTAAGAAAAGCCACACAAGTTATGACAAAGTTTGAGACTCTGCTATGCGCAGTGGGTAAGTTAGTTGAAGTTATCAGAATCACGTTTGTGATCTAGAGCAGTGGTTCCCAACCTTCCTAATGCTGTGACCCTTTAATAAAGTTCTTTGGTTGTGGTGGCCACCCACCATAAAATTATTTTTGTGCTACTTCATAACTGTAATTTACTCGTGTTATGAATCATGATATAAATGTAAAGACATTCTGATGGTCTTAGGTGACACCCCATGAAAGGGTCATTCCACCACACAGGGTTCAACCCACAGGTTGATAACCGTTGTTTTAGGGTGATAGCTTTGATAGTGTACAGAAACCAGGCTGATTAAGGGAACCATCAAAAGAATTCTTTAGAGGTGAAGACAGTCTGTGTAACATTGTCTGCTAAAAGTAAGCTTGCATATCCTTCTGAGTAAAGCTCAGACACTCCTATCTGAATATTTCAGGTGCTTCAAGTGGCCCCCATTAGTCAATATCCTTAGTGTGGTCTACTAATATCTCAATGTTGGTCTATGGTTTCTTTCCAGATAAGACACCATTAACAGTAGCTGAATGCTAAGTGGAACCTTTGGCCATTACAGTAGTGTGGTGATCAGCACATATTTCCAAGACTGGTAGGCTCTATTTTGTAGTTTTTGTTTAATTTTGCTAATAACTCTTTCTTCCAAATGGAGAATTGTCCTTAAATAGAGTTTACATGACAGATTATTTTTTACACTTTTCAATTAGTCTAATCATACTATAATTTCACTTGACTACAAATATAGCAACGGCAATTATACTTTATGTTAATTGCTAATTGCCTATAAGCTAAGGATTACTTACTTTTGTAAACTGCTACCTCAGGTTTATAAGGCGTCATGTGTTTGATCCATAATGGTGCCAATGAACAGCATGAATCTCAGTTTCTCTTCATAATATGACAGATGAATTAGCTGTTTCCACAAGGCATTTCTTTTCCTACTTATGTTATTGCCTAAGACACATGGATTTGCATGCATTGTTTTCTCATTCAAATATTCTACTTTTTAAAAAAATCAACTTTACTGAAAAGTCATTTATGTAAAGCAAAAGGCATACACCTTAAAATATACCATTAAGATTATTATAATATACACACACAATGTATATATATAAATATACAATATGATGTATATCTAAACACAAACACATATAATATGCACATAAACATGCACATATATAATGTATATATAAACACACATGTATATAAACACATAATGTATGCATGAACACATAATGTATAAGACATATAATGCATATATAAATGCACATAGCATATATATATGAACACAATATAATGTATACACACATGTGTGTATAATATACATATAAATAAACACACATTTTAAAATTATTACCATTAGCTGGTCCCCTTCTTCTATTAGGCTTCTTTCAAGATGGATTCTTTTTTTTTTTTTTTTTTTTTTTTTTTTTTTAGTAAATTTATTTTACAACATCATTTAGTTCTCAAGATGGATTCTAAGTGTTGTGTATGACAGTAATTTAAACCTCCCTTTGATAATTGTTGGAAAAGCATGAGTCTACCACAATTTGCTCAGAGGTATCTGAATTATTTCTAGTTGCTATAAGCATATATATACAAGTCTTTTTAGGTCTTGGATACTTTTATTCATTTCCTTCAACTGTTTTTTCTTGGCTTTAAGGGATTTACTCATTTCTTTCAATTTCTTTAAGGGATTTAGCCACTTCTTTAAGGACCTTGATCATATTCATAAAGTTGGTTTTAAGGTCTTTCTTGTGCTTCAGCTGTGTTCGAGTATTCTGGGCTTGCTGTAATAGGATAGCTGGGCTCTGGTGGTAACATATTGCCCTGTCTCCTGTTGATTGTGCTCTCATGTTGGCATCTAGACATCCAGGTTTGGGGTGATTATAGGTCTAGATGCCAATTTCTGGGTTTGTCATTGTTGGATGGGTGTTTGAGCAGAGGGTCTCCACCTGAGTTGGGGGGGTGGACTTCTGGTGGCCTGTATGGTCTCTGATCCAGCAGGGAGTCTCCACCAGAGTTGGAGGCTGGTACACTGAGACCAGGAGGGAAGGGGGACCTGGGGATAGTGTTGTGGGGAGGCATCACTGAGAGAGTAGAGGTGGTCTGCAGGTGGGCAGCCTACCTGGAGTTCTGGTGGCAGGTGACTTCTGGTTTGGAAGGGAGTCTCCTTGGAGATGGGGTTGGGATATAGAGATGGGGGGGTGAACATAGTGTTGGAGGCACCAAGAGAGTGGAGGAGGTCCACAGGAGGCCAGTCCACCTGGTCTTCTGGCAGACATGGCCTATGACTGGGCACGGTTGTCTGCCTGAGGGAAGTGAGCAGAATGTTATCTCTCATGAGTGCCCCGGGCTACAGAGGATGCTCACAAGCTGCACCCAGCCCCAGGGAGCTGCCTGTCCTTGCCTCTCCAGTGCTGGGATCACAACTGTGCACTGTTAGGCTTGAGCTCTGGTTCAACAAGTACTTTATCAACTTAGCCATTTCTCTGATTCCCATGAGGTTTTTGAGAACATGTATTCCTGTTTTCTTAGAAAAATACTACATTGGGGTGTCTGGATCACCCCCCTCCCCACAAGGCTCAGGGGGCTATGCAGAAGAGGAGGCAGGAAGAGTGGAGGAGCCAGAGGCGACAGATGACTCTAAGGAAACATTTTCCAGATACAGCAGGGCTGATGCAGGTGGGAACTCGCAGAGATCATGACAGCATGCACAAGGCCTGCAGAGGTTCAAACCAGACACAAGCCCAGCACAGAGAAGGGGAACTGGGGCTCAGAATCCTTCCTCCAACCAAGGTTTGAAAGGTGATAGCTGCTGGGAAAGCAATCATCAGTTTTCTTCAACTGAGTGTCACTTATTAACCACACCCCAGGGTAGGGTGCACATTCAGCAATAGCTGCCCAGCATGAAGACTCTGTGGTTTTTTGCTTTTGTCTTGTCTTTTCTTTCTTTCTTTTTCTTTTTTAAGAGAGAAAGAGATTATAAAGTTGAGTGGCTAGGGAGAGGGGAGATCTGGAAGGAGTTGGGGAAGGGGAAAGAATATGAGCAAAATATATTGTATGGGAAAAGAAAGAGGAGAGAGAGAGAGAGAGAGAGAGAGAGAGAGAGAGAGAGAGAGAGAGAGAGAGAGGAAGGAAGAAAG